AGTGAATGCGGGACTCCATTTGTCGCGATGTCGGGCGGGGCGTGAATGTGAGTTTGTGGTCAGGACGCTGGTGTTGCAACAGTGGCTTTCTCGCTAGGTTGTGAAATCGTCTAGCAGCGTAGGGGAGGTGGAGTTGGCAATCCGCCACTGAGCAGCAGGTGGAGCATGCCAGGTGAAGTACACTTCGCTGAGGGCATACAGCTAGGAGTGGTCATGTCGGTGATGTAATCATGTTAGGTCTTCCTTCGTACTTCTCTGTCCCCCCCCCACCTACCTGAACTACACCAGAAAAAGGAATGCTATTGAGGCATGAAGGTTTCACTAGGAGGTGTAATTAATGTCAGACTAACGTTTGGTTCCCGAAAATCAGCATGTATTCCAGGGTTTTTCCTAACTGCCGTGTAGGATATCTGAAATTGCACGCTTTATGTGTAACAGCGATATCTACAAGGTATTATTTCGCTTTCAAATGCTTTTTCAGTAACTACAAGGTAGGGGTTTTTACATCACCCTTTTTCTAATGTCCCGCCGACAAGCTGTACCTTTATATACTTTGAGTTAAAACAAGTGTTTAGTTTTTTTGATGTCCGCATTGCGAGTCACGTTTGCTTAGCTGGAGATGAGACATGTGGAAAATCCGCTGTCAAGTTGTCAGGATGTTAAAGTTTTAAAGGCCAGAAATTTTGTGACCCGTATGTCCGAGGGTTACAGTAATTTTCTTCCTTTATCAAATTTTAATATGAAGAATCCGGAACTACCTAGTGCCAACTTCATTATTTCTCCCGTGCATTCGGCCATGGAAGTTGAAAATATTTTATGTCAGTTTGTAGCTTTTAAAGACGGCATTCTTAATGTTTGCAGGGTTAGTCTTCCGAAGATCGAAATATGCCCTACAAATGTCTCCGAATATGTTTAATGAACGCAAACTAAAACATACGTTTGTAATTAATGTTTGCAAGCGACAGTTCTTATAATTCTTCCCTTAAGGTCAAGTTGTAAATTGGGCCTAAAAGCCGAAGACATGTAAATTAAGCCACAGTTAAACTCCGAGTGTGTTAGGCGATAATTAGAAAATCTTTACAGCTTTTTAAAAGTCCGTTAAAATGAAATTTCAAGACTGCCTTTATCCAGCAAATATCCGGGAAATCGATTATTCTGGGAAGTTTTGTGAATGTGAGTCTAACAGTGAACCGCATAATAATCTACTACTACTTTATGCTAGGCTCTAAGTGGTTTATTTCTGGTCGCGCCGGAATGACGTTTTACCGACCCAGCTAAAGGACGAAGCATTTCTATGCCTACTATCTCAGGAGGTTCAGTCTGAAGTCCTCGAGGGAGGGTGGGGGAGGCGAATGGGGAAAACAATAACTACTGTTGATGCAATACTGCCAAAGACAAGCGAGATCGGAATTACCACTTCTGGGCCACTTGCCGTAATGATCTAGACAGGCCGCCTATACTGTAACAGGACAATACCTGGAAGAATGAAGTAGTCATGGATGACTTATTTACCCTGATCGATCAGTCGCAGGATCAACGCGTGGGAGGGCCAGTCTCAATCATATTCGACTGGTTGAAGAATTCCGTTCTAGCTGGAAGACTGTCGAATACTCCTTCAGGTATAACAATGCTGAGAGACACCCCAGACGCGATGACACGTCAGTTGGTGCGAATCAGTTATTACTGTCAGTCGAATCAATTATAATTGACTATAGGGAAGGCCTACCCAATGGATGCCGATTTCCACATGACCTATCGAAGAATTCGTCGAGGAGACTATTTAAGGAGTGATTGCGGACACAGGAGTCTTCATTTGAAAAAGTGAAATTTTACAACTTTCTTCATATCCTCAATGTTCAAGGGGAATTAAGCTGTACGTATTATAGATTTTACAAGACGTGCAATGTGGGGGGGAATAGTAAAATCATTTTCTAAGCTCTTTTCGCAGTTCACTGCGCACAGTGAAAATAGTGCGACAAGCTGTCCACCGAATGCCTCATGGTGAAGCTCTTACCCCACACTTTAAGGGCTGAAAAAGCAGGTCATTTCGCTTTTGCCCTCAGATCTGCTTCCTCTTGACTGTCTCCTGTTTCTTCAGCTAGCCGTCCACTTCCATGAGACGCGCTGTCCGTACGCACTCAGGAGCATTACAAAAATTTTTATTTGATCGCGACCTGCAAGAGTAGCCTGATTTCCATTAAGGCGGACGTACAATTTGTGACGACCAGTTTCAGTGTGTGAACTTTTCTTGGCAGAAATGTGTCCTTTTGTTGTGCTCCTGATCCCTGACGCGGGCATTGATGCTTATTTGCTGTGTTTTACTTTAGGATTTCCTAGCCAGACAACACCTTCAGGAGATTTGTTCCATCGCGGACTCTGAGGAGCATGCCGCGCAGAGAGTGCGCACCTTCCCCGAGAGTTCCCTCTGTCAGGCCTTGAAACAGAAGAATTTGCCCTACCAGGAAACACCTCTGGGAGTTCTGTCTACAGTGGCAACTGAACAACTCAAGCTGCCAGTATGCGCCTTTCTGCCGGTGCATTCAGCAGCTGAAGGTGCGTTCAAGCAAGTCACCTCTGTCTGCCTTTCTTTTGACAGAAAACAGCTCGTGAGGAATGGCGGAGATTAGAACATTTGGCTGCGGTGTCGTGACCAACCATTTAGCAGTACTTTCCAACACTGACAGAAGGGTCCTAAACAGAATCAGATGCGAAGTGCTGGGATCTAGCGGTTGCAGACTCTAGGTAGATTCTCAAGGTCGGTCGTAATGTTATCTTTGAGTGCCGGAAATAGGGAGAAACGTGAGCAGTTATTTTGAGTTTATTTCGCCTTCTCGGTCAGTATAGCCCACTACCCGTCAGGTTGATGACTGGGAGTCAACCCATATGCTATGCGATGAAATCGAGGCAGTCAAATTCCAACGTAAGGCGTGCTTGACACTGTACATGTTAGTAAAGTAGACATTGCCTGGGATAAAGTACTTAGTCCTGGGTAAACCTATGCGTAGATTTACTTTGAGGTAAAAGCATTTCTCCGAAATTTAGGCTTTACAATCATCCCTGAAAACGCAACAGCCCAAAGTCGACTTTTTTTTCTAAGGAACTCCCCTTATTTACAGAGAAACGTCTTCAGTGAGAATCCTGAACTCGGCAATTACCAGGCCAGCCCAGTTCAAGAGTACGCGTCTCAAGAGGAAGGGTCTGCTTACCCTAGCAATCGGTACTCTTATCTGCTAAGCAGTTGAGGACCAAGACCGTTTGCTTTTTACGACTTAAGACTTGCTGCCACCGTCAGCTCTCTATTATATAACCAGTGTCGAATAATCTTTGCCTATCTCACACGGATAGTTACGTTTAGCGGACTTGACGAAGTGTCCATGTTATGCTTAGAGCTTTCCGTAAGTACAGCTTTCTGACATGTCGGACAGGCTGCGATAACAACAAATTAGCATTTGCTCGAGTACACAGAAGTCTAAGACGAAAGTGGAAGCCTGAAGCCTGAATCGCTCAGCATAGCTAGGCTAATTATCATCGTGTTTCAGCGAAATAAATTAATCACAAAATTGCTGCCTCTAGAGGAGCGGATGCAAAATTCAAACAAAGTTATCGGGAGGAGCGACTACTTCAAACTGATTCGCGGTTTTTTGTGGTGAACAGTTGCACAGCTCGAGATAATAAAAATGGGATTTAGGGAGATAAATGAAACACTCGTACGGCAGAAAGCACAACTCGGTACTCTGGCGCAGAGAATGCCAGTTGGCGAGGCACTGGTGAAAAATGGAGTTCTGATAGACCTCGTCTGCTGACCATCTGCGCTGCCCCTCTACGTAGCTTCGTGTTTCTGGTTCTAGACCGTGGCTAGGTTTATGGGTGACTGAATAAAACTAGAACCAGTGCCGATTAGTGCTCTGTGGTCAAGTCGTATCCTGAGAAACCCCTTCCACTAAGTTAAGCGCTTTTTAATGGGGTGCTCCTTGTACAAATTAAAACTCGCATGTTAACTAGGTGCGCCGACATATTTTGAATCAAATGAAGGACGTTTTAACTGGGTTATTCAGATTCAAACAACTTCATACTTCCATAATGAAGGTCGTGTGGCGTAGCGCTCAATCGCGCTACGAATACGTCGGTGTTCAGTTTTCTATGCTGGCTGCTGGTTAGGCAGTCATGATAGGAGGGAGGGCAGAACACTGTCATTAATTTAAACAAATTTGCCAAAATCAACTGTCCAGCCTATTGGAAAATTGCACAAGTTTTAGCAAAAATTGCCCTTGTCAACTGGGCACCGCTAAAGGCCATTTATTTATTGAGCTCCTTAATTGCGTGCGTGGCTGGGAAGCAGGGAGCGGAAAGGTCGTAAATTGACGACGTAAAAGTACGTACACATCCTGTCTGCAGAGGATTTTTTGCTCATAAAAGTTACTTTTAGCTAGAGGAGGCCATGTTTAACCTCAAATAATGTTTCTCGCTCAAAACCTCTCTGGTGTCCTCAAGCAGAGGCGATATGAGACGGCCAAGTTAAAACCGGGTGAAAAAAGGATGGCTTTTTTTTACAAAAGATGACTTCTTGACAGAAACCTTAGTCTGTGAGCTAACCAACTGATGGAAAACTGGTTGCTTGAGGTTGCAAGAGAAGGGCGAGGACAGGCCAATTACTAATGAAAAACGGACAGTGAGATGTACCATTAGAGAGCGAAAGGGGCCATACTTATTTGGAATATAGGCCTTTCTGTTTTCTCGCATAGGCTAGTACACAGTCGGAAAAGACCGGCCCAAGTCTTGGCATCCTAGCTTTCAGTCCATTCGATTAGTGGGCAGGGAAAAGTGAAATATGTGACATTTTAGAACGATTTTCCGCTTATACTTCACGCGCATGCACATGCCGTACATCGGTATGCTTCTTTACGGTCTTAAAATATCGCATTCCGTAGACCCGAATATGGGAAAAAAGGAGATTGCTTGGAAGCTAGAAAGATATAGTCTTCTTAGACTTGTTGATGTAGGCGTTTAGCGGTTTCAATAAAAAGCTCGTTCTAATCTCCGTACAATTTATGGGCAGTGTATTGCTGAAATTAATGCAGTTTTCCTACCGAATTCGCGTCATTTGTGCTACTTTACTATTCCAATTGAACCCAGACCTAGCTACTATGATCTCATCGGTTAGACTCTGTTTCAACTTCCTACCGAAGAAACATTTCCAGGTTAAATGACGCAAAAGCAAATTAGCCTTAGTCGACCATTGATCAGCACACTAGCGAACTCAGAACTGCTTTCAAGGGCCCCATTCATACATTGTATGCGTGTAACTCAAAACGTGATGACAAAAATGTACATAATCGTTTTAGGTCACCTAAAACTATCGCATTCGTCTTATTACTTCCGGAAACGGTTTTCCACTCATGAAGAATATGTTTCCAATTAACTGTTTAGGAGGAAAAGTCGACCCGTCTGAGTGGAAATCAACGCTATCTGTCGGACATCTGAGTGTGCCCTGTACATACTAAATATTCCTCTATTGTTGCTCTACTTATGGCATTATTTTGATCAGGCGTTAACATGGAGTGGGTAAATATAATCCTAAAGTTGAGTTTGCTCATTTTACATGAATATATGCTTTCTCTTCAGTTCTGCTTTTCTTAACAAATTTCGTTTTTAGCCAACATAATACTGCCCCCTATATTTCCCTTGCTTTGAATTTAACTAAGGGTCTTTAATTATAAATTCAGGACCTTGGTCGATTAATTAGAGATCCTCCGTTAGTTAAGGCATACTTCAGTATGTATGTGTGCAGCTCTAGAGAAATTTTTTACAGGGACTGGAATTTAACAGGATTGACGGAGCCTACTGCTTTGAAGCGGTGTTCATTCCACTGAATTCCTCAAAAATTTGGCATGCTAGTTTTCCTTGTAAATGCAAAGCTTCATGGAGGACTAGCATGATCACTTGGGGTCGTTTGTCATCGTACTCCATTCAAGATTGAAAAGGCCGGGAAGAAGACAGTTACCCCGGTGCATCGAACAGCATTCAAATGGCCTGCACAATAGCCCCCAACCCGCATTTTTTCCCGACGGCACATGGCACCATCCACACAGATAACACAGCCACTCACCGGACTGGATCGTAGGGTGGGTTTCGTCGTCACTTGAGGGTATACAAAGCCCTGAGTCAAATAGTTCTTGTTCTACGGCATGGGGTGAGCACGTATCGCGCCCCGCACGGACCTAACTGCTATCGATGTGGACTTTCTCGATCTCTACCTGGGGAATTGGAGTGGTGAACATAGCTATATGGGCCAGAAGTGATCATATCAGTGTCGTTTGTCTTGAAGGTCGAATCCATTGCCTTCCACTGTCTCGCTGTCTCAGGTTACCAGGGCCACATCTGTGGCATACAGCTGCTATTGTAACAATCATGTTATCCGCTGTGATGGAGTGACTGAGTAGGTGAGACAGGGCGTATTCCCACGCACACATACGATTCCTCTAACTTTTTGGGACTGTATTGACAGCCGAATGTAGTCGCGCCGTAATCTTGTCTTCCTACATTGCAGGAGTTTTCAGTCAAAACAAAAGTAGCAGTGCTATAAAATTCGATGAAAAACACATTTTCTTTCGCGAAAACACAAAGGACCTCGTGAAAATTGAAGGCTAAAAGGGTCTATTTGCGCGTGAACAGAAGCAGCGATGATTTTGTTGCCTGACAGGAAGGCCTCCGCGCAAGTGGACTTCACTTTTGTTTTGGACGGAAATTACTTAATCCGACGTCGCCTACCCTCTTCAATTCTCCCTAAGGTGCGAGAAGCATATAATAATTGCACTGCAAAACCCATTAAGGCATAGCTCGCTGGATATCGGTTTCTTAGGCCAGATTGGGCAGGATAGGACGCAGATCCTAGTTCCGGATTTGGACGTCTCCATTCCCCGCTTTCTACTGAAGAACACAAATTCGAAGTTCCAGGACAATTCACGATGGAATGCCAGTAAGGCATTACGAGATGGTGGGCCAGACACACTATGTCGTAATTATCTCTACCGTTTGTAGGTTTTTTTGGAACTGCTGTATCAGGTCGATATCCATTCACGTCTGACCGTGTTATAGTTGTTCTGTTGTCGACCGCTCAAAATGCAGACTTGGAAGCCTGTTAATTCTACAAATAACCCTCGGTAAAAGATGCTCTACTATCAGCCATTAGTGGACGCGTCCTGGTAGCTTGCAGCCAAATTAACGTGAAAGTCCTGTCTTCCCGTGGGTTTTGAAGTCTCAGTAAAAGAGAGTGAGCGCAGCATTCATACTTGCACAAAATTTCTGCCCTGAGTAACTGAGCGTAAAAATTGATCTGTCACTGTGGCTGGGGCATGAAATGGCTCGATTTGACTTGGTACGTTGTACGTACAGTAGTTTTCATACACTATGCATCCAAATTCGTTGTATGACTTCTTAACATATAATTGATATTGAACGGAATTCGGTGAATACGCTTCTCTCAACCTGAGTGGGCAATGATGTATGAAAATCTGCATACTCAAGTCCACTCAACTGTCTAATGGGACTGGGAACTGGTCACTATCTACGTAGAGTTTGATCTGAATCAAATAATCAGCCAATTCTTGGGAAAAGTGATACTTCTTTACGGGAAAGTCATTCCAAGTACCATAGTTTCCTTTCATTTAGAAGGGATTTGTGCAAATAAAAGGTCGAAAAAGAGCGAAAGCTAGTTAGCGTTACGCGATGTTTTGGAAGAAATCGAGGAGGACTACTTAATTATTCTATATTCATGACCATTTCTGTTCAAAGAGCAACTTTTTCAGGACTCGACTATCTTACTGCAAAAACCTTAAACCAATGCATTGTTCAAGTCTACTTTATCGCTTTTTGCCTACCTATATCCCTAAAAACGCCGGCCTGGCCTAACGAATGTTATCGTGTAATACATGAAAAATTCGTTGAAAATCTCTGTCATGTCAGGGCTTCCGTCCACAGAACACGGCAAGAACTGCATTTCTACGGAACTGGTCATTAGCTGCATAGTTGGAAAGGCATCCATCAACTCTTCCATTAACCCTTTATTAACCCTTCCGGTGTCTATTTTATAAGTTACATGATAATATGGACGCTGACTTACAAGTTAAATTTCAAACAGTTGTACAAAAGTATGCCACTCGAATAGTTCCCTTCTAGCCCTAGAAAAGTTCTGCCCCTTGAGCTGATTTGTCCCTAACAGGACGTAAATTCTTTTCTGTACTTCCTTTAGATCCCCTTTAAATATCACTTCTTAGGTTTTGAAGGCTTGTTGGCCCGTTTGTGCATAGTCAACCCCTTGGTCACTGTCATGGGCAATAAAGGGCTGGCTGGGTAAGTTGGGGAAGAAACGAGCAGTTAAACTCCCGAATTTCATGATAGCATTCGTTAAGAGCCACTCGTGGGAATTTCATAGTTTAAATGGTACTGCGAGTTGTAGCTACATCCTGCTAGAAACAGTTCCCTGGAGTACCCATCAACGTTTTTAGCATTCATCTCTACTGTTACCACTAAGACCCGCAACTATTCCCCTGGCGTCTCCAGAGGAAAGAGCCAATCATCCATTGAGCCCCGGTTATGCACCAGACCACATTGCAAACACGATGAATTTCACGCTTAGGGGTAAGGCGTGGAATTTCCCCCTGCCCAGAAGTGGCCATTTCGATTATTATGAAACCTACTAGAATGGAAGTGGACTTCATTCGCCAAAGCACATTTGTCAATAAAATATTCCACAGCCATTACGATTCTGGGGAATTGACCTGCATGCCTGTTAGTGTGCTGAGTGGATCTTGCGGGGAATAAGGCTTAATCGACCGCCGATCTCCCTCACAATAAAGACCTCGGTATACCAACTCGAGCGGGACATTTTCTAGTTAGGATGTCAGGATCCGCTGGCGCCGAAGAGCTTGCGAGGGCTTTATTTTTATTAGAAGGGCTTTCTCAGGATTGTCTTCCTGGAACCCGATTTATCCTTTAAATGTCCTAGCCAATCGACTTGACCTGAAATCATTTGGTGAATTTGTCTTCGTGAAAGGTTGAGGATGTGCTTTTTGCATTATACCAAATACATTCTGGTCCATAGGGCAAAATTAAACTAGTTTAAATCGCATCTATGTAGCGCACCAGGTCGTTGTGCATGTTTCTAAATATTATCATTCAGATGTATGGTATAATGTTACTACTGGCTTCCTTAACTTATGGCCTACGTCCAAATCGATTCCACTATAAAAATTAAACTGGCTAATTTAAAGAAATGTCGATTGGCATAACTCTATTGCTCATTCAATCCTTGCTCCTTCTGACAAAGTTATCTTTTTTTCCACATCGGGGAACTTGATGAATAATTATCAGCTCTTCCTAAATTAACTAATAGCTCAAGTTTCAGCAGTACTTGCTACTTTCATTTACATTCTTGCGCACTTAAGTCTGCCTCGGCAAATTAACCGGCGCACGATGCACTTCCATTCCTCCATAACTAGTTTTTGGGTGACGGGATATACTTTGACAATGCAAAGTACCACTCGGCCTGATTGCCGAGCTAAATAATGAGGTTTTGCGCGATAGCGTTCAGCCTTTATGCACAGATTTTTCTTCCTAAGCAAGCATACGCCTTTTAGACGCAAAAGTGCGCACCACACTGTGATTTGCGAGCTTCATTTAAAAAAGTTGGGCGCACACCGCGCAGTTGTTTTGATGCAAACTTTCAACGGAAATATCTTTAGAGGGAAAGTTAATTATCTCCCTCGAAGATTCCTTTATGAACAAAATCAGCTTACGTCCAAGAGTTCTTTAGGGACACTCAGATGGGCACTGAACGACACGACCGTGGAAAGTCAGAATCCACGAAAGATTAAATTATAGAAAAGTCCTCGAGAAAAAGACGACAGACAGAGCAGAGATGTATGTATGTCTTGCCATCTTTAAAGGGGGGGACAACGTCCGTTTCTAAGATTTTCACGTTAAAATTAACTGCAATTGGTTCTACAATTTTTAAGCCTACCATTGTTTGCATCAGAATGCTTAGAGGAGGGAGCAAGGCGCCTCAGCCGCTAATGCAATATTTAGCTTCTCTTGACAACGTTGCGTCGGTTCGTACCTTAACTTCACACCTTCTGCCCCAACAGCCTACTTCGGCAAACCGACCAATAAATCGTCACAGAAGTCAAGAAACAAGTCGGAACAGTATACTCCGCTCATCTCTCAACGTGACCAACAGCAGCTGAACATTCTGCTCTTCAAACACTCCACATTTGCTGTGTTTGTGACCGGCATCTACCGTCTCTGCCTCACCACCATCCTCCTGGGGGTTTGCGTGTGCTGGTTGCTCGCTTGCAAATATCTGATCGCACAAATGTGCTCCAGAACTGTGTCTGTGTTGACCAATAAGGTGAGCATGTTCTGGACTCGGGGAAACTTTTGATCTTTTTTTATGCAATGCCGATTGACGATTGCTGCCGACCTCTTAATCATTTGTATAATCAACTCGTGTGTACTGCCTATTTATCCAATCACAAAGTGACGACTCTTTGAAAGGAATGAATATCGGGGGGTAGGGGTTGATGACACACACTCACCAGGAAGCCCGAGCGGACGAAGATGAGAGAGATGACATGAGCTCCGCTAAGGCAAGTTTTTTATCGGAACTTCTGGATGCCTCCTCAAGTCCACCATTAGAGGCATGGTGGGAGCAACGATGGAAGTAGTACACTTTTAGAGGGGACCAGTCTAACAACCCAACTACGTTTCTCTAACGCTACGCTGATCACTATCAGATACCTATGTCTTAACTCGCTAGACTCTCTGCGCGGCTGATTAATATCACAGAGAGAAAGGGAGATACGCTTTATTTTGTCACTACTATCCCAAAATTTTCGGCAAAAAAGATTCAACTAGCCGTGGATAAAGTGGATGCGCAAAACAGATAAAACCAGAAGATCACAAGCGATAGCTACCGAAAACTGCAACGGTCAATATCATGAAGATTCGCCGTGAATGAATTGTAAAATTCGCGTTAGACTTGACTGCCTTCAAAACGGCGCTAGCGTAGTGTGCGGATGACCCTATTATTGTAGTCAAACTAAATAAAGAGGCGAAAAATCGGTATATAATGAGTAAAATAGGTCAAGGGATGAAGTGGAAAGAAGGAACACAGTGGCGGCCCAATTTAAAAATTAGTTATAGGCCTAAATCTTCGATACGGTTAATGTCCTGTGTACGCTGCTCAAATTTTAATTTGACGGCTCCTAAGGAGAAGGAAAATTGGCACTGGAATTGTTAATTCTGGTTTATTTGCGTCCTTCAACGGTAGTAGCTAGACACCCGAGGTTTGGTGTCGGGTACGAAGATCATCGAATTCCTAAATCCAGCACTAGAGACCACTTTAACTACGAGGTCTATGCTCTGGCAACCGCGATCAGGCGTTGACCACCCTATCCTTGTTACGATACAGAACATGGAGGGATTCGTGTTCGCCCTGAAGCTTTGGATCTCGATCACATGTCGGCATTCGGTAAACGACTAGGGGACAATGAACGAGACATCATATGGGTCATAGTTTGCCATCCCAATGTCATTTTGCCTTGTTGGTAAGACTTATTGAGTATGGACGGCTACTAGCTTACATACCTCCTGTGAGGATCCTAGACCCGAAGTCCCAAGGCGGGCGACAGTCGGCCCCTCCTGTTTCGTTCTACACGCAGGATAGATCAGTGAACGCTACCGCCACATTAGAATTGTACCTGCCATCCCTACCTCTAGCCGGCCTCTATTGGACACCTAACGTTCTTCGCAGAGAAGCACTCAGACTCACGCCAAGAGACAGGCCTAAATAATTACTTTTCAGTCACTACGTCTTGGTCCTTCACTTCACGAAGGAATAACGCGTCAAATCTGAGATTCAAGTTCTTATAGGCATCATTTCTGGCTCTTAAGGGACACAGAAATCCAGCAATTAGGTGGGGTAGGGGTTGTTGTTACTGCTGTTGTTCAGAACAGTGTCTCACCATGACTGTTGTAACTCACTCATTAGGCCTAGTGAATCATGCATGGTGATCTTTCACCTCCACCTGGGTTTCTGATACCACGATATCCCTAAGTCTGCCGGCAAACGGCTGGGGTCTACAGTTCACTTCTGTCTGTCAACTAGGTAGCATGACTAAGAGGATGGTAGTCTGTAGCCCGGAAAAGGGAATCTAGGGTGAGAAATATGTGCCAGAACTCATCAGATCTGTGCCCAGGTTTTTAATAATGCTTTCAAATATACAAAATTACCTAGGTGAGACTTCATGAGTGAGCAGGACTTCGATTTTCAGCGTGGGTATTAATTTAGTAACATCTTTTAGAAAAATGTGCAGTCTTTTCAGTTCTTATAGTCTCTTTTTGCACACATGCTTATTGTTTGCATTCGTTGCTTGAAGAAGAGAGCACTGTCGTTCTATAGTGTTTGCTTTTTGCTTTTTAACACGGTTAGTAACGCATTTATACTAATAAAACGGCGACTACAGTAGACGTGCTATCTCACGAAATGTAAACGGAAATTTTTAAATACTTTTTCAATTCGAATGTATTACTTAGTTACGTTTTCCGTATGACAACATCACGTCGCATAATGCCAAGATATTTTAGTCACGTCATAATGCTGACTTTCGAACGATCTCCTTATTGACCGCCTGCGTAAACTATGTTCCGTAAAAATGACTACCTAGATAGGAAGAATTTTTCTTTTTGATTTTTAATGTCCTAATAGAAAACATGCACACAATTATCCGCTCTTTTCTCATTTAGTAGCAAACTAAGTCCTCTTTCAATTTTATACTTGAAGAAAGAATATCCTGCAGTTTTAAAAAGTATTTAATGACAAAATTTTTTCGAAACTGTGGAATGTCTAATCGTGCATCATTTTATCAGCAAATTTATTAATGCTGCTCAAAAATCGATAAAATGGTCCACACTTTACTAAATATTGCGAGCCCTATATGTCCTCTCTATAATAACATAAAAATATATAATTTTCTTTGCACAAAAACATGCAACTTGTAGTTTGGAATCCCTGAATGCAGGTGTAACGGCAGGTCAGGTTCAAATTTATTCGGGAATCGGAAGAGTTTTTTAAGACCGAAAGATGTTATTTCTTCAAGTCCGGGAATTTAAAATGACGTACTTTGTTACCATATAAGTAAAAGAAAAAATATTTTTGTGCATGTTTTCTATAAAATATATTTGAATTTGTAAGCACATCATAAATCAATATAAATAACTCATGTTACTTAAGTAGTCATTTTTATGCGAAGTATAGTTTATTCAAGCAATCTGTGGGAAACTCGCTCAGAAGCCGGAATCCTGACGTGACTGGAATATCTTGGTATTATTTGACACAATAATTAATACGACAACTTTGCTTAAGTAATCGGTGAGATGTGGTTGTGTAGCCCCGCCTGATAGATACAATGCTGTTGGGGTTGGCGCTAGGGTTAGGGGTTATGTTTAGGGGTTAGTGTTGGGGTTAGAGCAACCACTTTTCAACCACTCAAAGTACAATCGCGCATTCCCATTAGCTTTTCTTTTGGACACAACTACATGACCTCGTCGTTTGTGCGTCCCCCGACCCCACCTGTAAAAAGCCCCATCACCACCCGTCCTGTATGACAAGTGGCTGGGGTTTGTTTACTTCAGGTGGAGCTGCATAATCACATCTGCCCAGGTAATCTTTCCGAACTGAAAAGATATTTCAGCATTTCGGGCAACGTTTCATAAGATAGCATATCAACCTCATGCCTAGGCTACGATAACGAAAACAGTCCTATAATACAAAGGAATACGAGGTTATCTTTTCTGCTAGAAAAATTTCCGGTATCAGTCACTTGAGCGTATGGACAGACAAATTCTCTTGATTCTTCTTTATGTTCGTATTTTGGAGGAGTAAATACCATGGGCATTCATTTGTTAAATAACCTAGAGAAGCATATTGCAAATAGTAAACCTAGCGGGAGTGTTTTTTATTCAATCTCCCGCTAGGACGCTGACGGTGCGGAAGGATGACGTGAAGTCCATGCCTGTCATTCTCGCTGTCATCCTACTGAACTTCAGTTCAGTTATGAAGATGTCCTAAAATTCGGGGATTTGAAGGCTGGCAGATAGCGCGAAGCCTAAAAGTGAACCTTCTATGATTCCCTCATAATGTGTCCTTTTAAGCATCATTTTCCAGTGTACTAATGCTGGTTCGGTTAGAAAAGGAAAAAAGTATATTTTCGGGTTTGCATCAGCAGAAACGCACTGTCTCGGTCGAAAATTGCACCAAACCCTATTTCATACCGTTGAAAAGGTAGTCTTGGGAATTGAATGGGAAAAGACCGGAAGAGAGGAGGGGGAGGAGGAGGAGGTCGGCGTTGCACAAGCATCCCTGTTACAAACCAATTCACATACATGCTGTTTTCCTCAAGAAAACTATTCTTAGCCGACCATGACGGAGAAGTTACTACGTGTTACGATGGTGATTTGTTATTGTAACAAGTTGTGTCTCAAAAGACAAGCTCAGACGTAAGGTTTAGTATGGTTATCGAAGCCCCAGATAACATGCGCCTGTAACTAAGACTTGGCATGCGGTCGATTGCGCGCTTTGTACAACGGTGACTTAGTCACTAAAAACGGAAACGTTGTCTGCATGATGGAATATAAATTAAGAACCTCTAAGAAGTTCGGGATCATTTTCGGCGACTGGCCTTTAAATGTGAGGGTAAAATATACTGAGGTATTAAAAGTCCAAGAGAATCAAATTGCCCCTTTTTGTGATTAAGATTTATTCGCAGTTGTTGCGCGTTATGGTAGTGAACTGCAATTAATCGGTTGACATTGAGCCAGAGAGTCTTGAAACGATAGACTAGCCGTCCGAACTATCGGCTAAGGACTTGTTCGTGACCTGCGCCCCTTCTTCTCGTTTCCGCTTTGCGGATGTTCCTGGCGCTCTTCGAGTGATGCCTACTTCCCCCCGTAGCCTTTCCTGTTATCCCAACACGCAAGGAGACATTAATATGCTCCTCTTACCCGCCAGCTGGCGATGACTCCTGTTAGACTCCTGTTGGTTTCTTGTGTGGCCTGACTGGACAGTTTTTCCACTCTTGAAATCTTCATTTTGGGCAGGCAAGTGATGGGAATGCGCGACCGCACCTATAGATGTTTGCTTGAGCCAATCCGCGAACAGCAGCCCAACGATATGCACCAAAGCTATTGTTCTCGCTCCAACATCTTCCCCCCCCCCCCCCCCCCCTCCTCAAGTCCCGGTCGCCGAATGTGCCGCTGGATGACGCGACAGCAACCTCATCAATTCCTTCGTGGCGTGGCCGCGAAGGCTTGTGTGCTACCAGGAGGGCCATAAATTGTGATTTAGGTGTAAAACCATCAAACGCCGCATCTGCAGAGATCGTGAAAGTGGAATTATTAGTCACCTCCTGACTCATTTATGTTCAGAGGTGGCATCCTACTTCAATGCGCTGAAAATCTTACAGCTATTTTTCGCCCAGGATTTTCCCAGCTGTTTAAGAAGTCGGGTCAAGTCTTCCACGTGGTTTTATACTAAAAGTGGTGATATCCTCAGTTCTCGAATAAACTATAGAATAGTCGGCTAGATCGCAGTTGGTAGCCAGGAATGGGGAGGCGGACGGCGACCTTACCCTTAATCCTAACCTTAACCCTAACCCTAACCTCAACCTTGAACCTTAACCGTTAACCCTAACGGCAACCCTAACCCTAACCGAAATTGCAACCGGAACCGTAGCCCTTAGACATAGCCGTAACTAAAAAATCTAACCGAAAATCGGCAACAATTAACCGGTACCCTAATCCTAACCTCAACCGTAAAACGGAAGCCAAATGGGTCAGATGTGATCATGGAACCCCACTAAGTAGCCACGGTAAGCAAAGCCCCCAGCCACCTGTAATACGGGGCCTGTCTACCAATTGCGATCTAGCCACAGCGGTTAAGCTTAACTTCGTTACCGTCATCGGGCAGCTTGGTCCAACAACATCCTCGTCAGGAACAGCATGAAATATGGACGCAAATCGATCGATTCGCTGTTTCATCGTCATCGGAAATATCCGCTCCTCCGCCCTCCAGCCTGCGACGTGCTCTCAGGCACTTATCGTACGCAACTGTGATAACTGGTGGCGTTTAGAAATATTTTGCCTAAATAAAGCGCCTAAGTCCGGCTTGATTTTCTGAAGTTCCTTCTAAAATATTCGGCCTCCGCAATTACTCACGAATCATTATGCTGCCGGCCGTAAGAGTCTAACGGGAGTAACGATAGGCAATACTTCACTCGATGAACTTTTCCTCTATGTACAAACTCCAAGGTAAAGTGCCGTTAGAAATGATGAAAGGCAAGGGTTTTCTTAGGGTTTTTGCCTGCCTTTTTGAGAATGTATTATTTTTTAAATCTATTTTCCCCATTCCTTATGTAGGTCACGCTGATCACAACCTGCCCGCCTAGTTCGCGCAAAATAGAGACCTTCCTGACATCAACTAACAGAAACCTATTTCACCGAAGCAATTCACGAACCATTTGGCTGCCAGAGCCCGAGAAGACTCCTGACCCGATAAGGCCTCCTCGAGCTGAACAACTACAGTCTGGCAGAAAACGAAAGTCCAGGGGCTCAAAGATTCGTGAAAAGCGGTCTACAGAGTCCCGTGTCTGATTCCATCCAAAACGATTCTGCATTTCATTAGAAGTCCACTTTTGTATAGCCACTTGGACGCATTTTCTCCCCATCTCTCTCTCCTGGCCTTGTACTTTAGTCCTCTTCTTTTTCTTCCTACGGCAGACCCGTAAATGGCCTTTCGGGAGGCAATACCGGTACCTCAACATGCTCCTTTTTGTATATGTCTCTAACTGTGATTGACAGTGTTTGTTTTAAAAGAAGTATTCCACAAGTGAAATGCAGATTTGCGTCTTTTCACTAAATTCTTCCTAACCCGATGTTTTTAATCTCTATTACACTGTTTCGCTTTTTATCTTGGCAAAACCCGTGGAATCAGTCTTTGTGCACATCCACGATACTTATGACACTCGATGAGACTAATAAATCAAAAGCTAGTTGGTTATTGGGCATCTTCGCGCCAAGTGCTATTTTCCAGCGCATGCTACAACTTACGTGGACTGGAATGCGGGAACAGTTTAATTTCTGTATTATGAGCCTCTTATCCAGTTTTTATCTAGTCTGCGCCAGCCCCACCTATCTTTTTCCAAGTTGGTGCATGGGTTAACAGTTGTTCAGCCTACCTAGTGACCTTTAGATCTTCGAATATTTGCGTTGATTTGGAGAGAACCCTGAATATGGTGGAGTGGGCATAAGGAAGAAAATACGGCTTTCAGGCCGCGTGGCATTTGCCACCGCTTCACCAAGGGCCATGTGTTCATCGGTATGGTTATCTCGTAAAAATGCCTCTTTATAGGCGTAAAAGTAACTCGGCTAGACAGCTCAGTTGGCAGAAAAGAACTTTCTGGCAGCGCAAGTTAATCCCGCGCGCCCCCTCTCTCCCCCTCCCCCTAATATCATGGTCAGAAGCCAGCTCAAATTTTTCAACCTATTTACACCAATTAATGTTCCTTCCATGATACAATAAACAAGCTCAACACGATTATGCATTTGTTTATTAATAAGCGGAACTGCAAATGTTAGTGTGATGCACTTGCAAGAAGAACGAAGACGGTGAATGCCATAAAGTTATGATGCTGGAGCGAAGTATCGCCATCCCAGAGTGGAAAACTGGGACTTTATTTGCCGTAAGCACGTATGCATCTGAGATGCCTCAGGCTTTGTGAGAGTTTAAGGTTGTGACGCCTTTTCTCCTTGTAATGCAAAGGGTGTATTTTTGGGCCTTAATGTCTTCATTGCAAGTTTAGCGTCAAATGCGTCTATTATATGAGCTGTTATTTGCTCGGTAAACAAATAAAATTTCACCTTTAAGAAATTTCAGTTTTCCTACGGTCCTGATATGACGGCCAATGCAGTCCACAGACGTCCGACGCGTTTTACCGCTTGGTTCCCAGGCAACTTCGCTCGCTGTTTCTAATTAGTCCGCAAAATTAAGCTTTTCGGACGGCCTCTTTTGAGAATAGAGCGGAAAAGCAAGTACTGGGCGCACATTAAACACGAGCAATGTCCTAATGAACTGGAAGTCATTTGGCGCCGAAAACTGATATGGACGATTTAAAATGCGTGGTTTTCGATGCATGACTATCATTAGTGTACTCATTTCACCAAGAAAAATACGGGGACTAAAACGCTGTGTGAATTATGAATATTGACTTTTTAAGTTAAAGGCCAATGCGCACGCCTAGTAATAGAATATCACTCGTGTAATTCCGCCCTATTCAGCTCTCTGACACTAACTTTATTTTGTCTCTTCTACACTTTCTTTTTTTTCACCAGTTACCTTGCCACTGAATCGCCTAATAAAACCAACTAAATGAGTCGCCCTTTATCGGAGGTAGCTCGTTACGTCACATTTCGGCACAACCAAATTAGTTGAAGTTAAGAAAGAAGGTTTGCACTATCCTAGGCCTATTCAAGACTCTGCTTCGGGCATGCGCATCATTTGATAATATAAATTACTGCAGTTCTACTCATTTTTAAAGAATTCTAAATGAACTAAGTTAGTTTGTTGTTCAAAAGTCCCTTTGCGCTCTTCTGCTATTTGATATTGTTTGCACTTCTTTCGATATAAGTAACCGGTAAAAAAATCAAATTAAACATTCAAAATAAAGCACACTGGTTGCAGAAATATGTAGATCATAAACTCTTGGGTCTTTTTGTAAAGTATAATCTATGCTTTCACTCTTCCTAACCGCTCTTATTAACTACCGTTGATGTGTGAAATAATTTTGACTAAAACATGCACGAATAGCGATTTAGGGGAAAATTGTGCATATCCTTATCTCTGGGATACAGTGCTGCGGTGGCAAATAAACTCTGGTGTCTTATATTATACTTGTTGGCTTAGCACGTCAGATAAAACGCCTTTCTGACACGGATTACAGTAGGTGGGCTAACTCATGAAAGTCAACGGAAATTCCGAAATGCGTTTTCCTTTCGAAAAGATTAATTAAGTATGGTTGTAAGACTAATCATCTTGAAGCGTACATCTATGATAATTTAGTTACCTCAGGATACCGGCTTTGGAATGAACTTCTTTCTGGCTGCACGCAAAAACTGTACTCTGTAAAAAATGACTACTTATGTAGCAGGCATTTTTCCGATTGATTTTCAATGCCCTCATAAAGTCAATTATATTTCATGGAAAACGTGCATAAAATACTCATTCTTCTGCTCATTTGGTAGAAAATTATGTCTTCTTCCAATTGTATACTCGAAGGATGGGTATACTTAGGTTTTTAAAAACTTTTCCAATTACCGACTAACTCGGAACCCCGACCTGCCGTTACACTTGCATTCAGAGTTTCTAAG